CTTGGTATTTGTGATGGTGTTCACTGTCTTACTTTACTAGTATAAAGTGCTAAAAGTTTCCTGGAAATCAAAGCTACAAATTAGAGAAAATGTCTGTGATATTCTTCTTTTGAGTTCAAATAATGACTCAGGAGGTTTAAGAAGTATCATAGGAACAGATAAAGAAAAAAGTGGTAAAATATTAATTGCAAAATCGAGCTGGTGTATACATGGGGTTCACTGAAAAATTCTTTCAACTTTGCTGTATGCTTGAGATTTTTCATAATAAAATGTTGGAAAAAAGTATTATGACATCCTCCATTTGGGTATTAATACTCCTCAAAATTCATGGATTCCTACAGCTAGATACAACAGTAAAAGGTCTTGAAATATAAACTCAAGGAAGCACCCAAAGTAAATGGGGAAAGACAGATGACTCAATACACACTGTTGGGGGATTTACTAAAAAATCCATTTGGATTTTTTTCTCACACCTTACTTTTAATTTGGTGAATTTAATATAATTTTTTTTTAAATTATAAGTTCTTCTATTTAAAAGGGAAGGAATTCCTAAGCCCAAGGTAACAGAAGTCCCAAAGGAAAAAAATAGACAAAAATAATTTATTCAACTAAACAAAATGCTAAGGTTCTGTATCTCAAAAAAGTCGTAAGAAAAATTAAAAATCAAAGATGCTGAGAAAAATATTTGTCCTAAATATCGCATGCACATGCACGCATACACACAACACACACACACACACACACACACACACACACACCTCAAATAAATTATAGCAACAGTCACACCCCAACAGGAAAGTTGATAACGGCCCTAACCGGTTTGGCTCAGCGGTTAGAGTGTCGACCAGTGGATGGGAGAGTCCCGGGTTCGGTTCCCACTAGGGCATATACCTTGGTTGCAGTTTGTCCCGGGGCCCCAGTTGGGGTTGTGTGGATGGCAACCAGTTGATGTGTCTCTCGCACATCAATGTTTCTCTCTCTCTTCCCCTCTCTTTCCCTCCCGCACTATCTGAAGATGAATGCAAAAAATGTCCTCAGGTGAGGATAAAAAAAGAAAAGAAAGAAAAGTTGATAATGGACATGAGCTGAACATGTACAAAAGTAAACAATGGGCTAATAAACACATAAAAAAGCTAAACTTTACTAGCAGCAATTTAAAAATGCCACATGCCTGACACAAAATGCATATTAATAAAATGAACCAAAAGTAATGGAACATTTTTGTCTGAAGATTTGTTCAGAAGATAACAATACTGATGAAGATATGGTGAGATGGGCATTCATACACTGCTACAATGTGGATAGCTTGGTACAAGTTTTCCAGGAAACAATGTGCCAAAAGTATCATGACTTCACTACAAAGAATCTATCTTCAGGAAATCATTCAAAAAGGAAGCAAACTAAACATTCCCAAATTAGAGAATATAATAAAATGTTTTTAAAGTATTTTTAAGCAGATGGAGAAAATGCACACTTAAAAAGCAGGATATAAAAGTGCCTATATAGAATGATGCTGACTCTGCACACTGAGTGTGTGTATGTGTGTGTGCACACACCCATGCATGTGTGCAGGAAAATACTGGAAGGAAATACACACAAGCATTAACAGCTTGAGTGATGGGATCAGAGATAATTTTTATTTCTTCTTTCTATTATTCTAAATAATATTTTAAAAGAAGTGTTACTACAAATTAGAAAGAATCATATGCAAAATTTGGAAGAGTGATCCACTGCTTTGGAAACAGGTCTCCACACAAGTCGATACCACCAATAAGGTAATGACTTTGAATTGTTTTTGTGAATCTAAATTTCAAGGTCCAAATGCATGTAACGCACCTTCCCGCCCACGCGCTCTCTGTTTAACTTCATCTATGTGCACGCCAACAGATCCAAAACCTGTTTTCCTTCTTGCATTTCATTTTGTGGTAAATGATACTGCTTACGTAGCATAACCCACTATCCTTGCTTCACCTGTTCCTTTTGTTTTACCCTGCTAATCTCTTTTTAAACTTTTTTTTTTTTAGCTTTTTATTTATGGGTTTGAGAGAGAGGGAGGAAGGGAAAGGGAGAGACCTGACCCCCTGTCCCATCACCTGCCGCATTTGCTGGCTGACTGCACGTGCCCCACCACAGCGACACACCCGCTACCTCGGCCTACCAGGCCGATGCTCTAGCCCAGTGGTTCTCGACCTTCCTAATGCCGCGACCCTTAATACAGCTCCTCATGTTGAGGTGACCCCTGTGAAAGGGTCATTCGGCCCCCAAACGGGTCGCGCCCCACCGAGCACCCCGGCCAGGGCCTGCTCATCTCCTGAACCACATCCAAAGGCGTCCCACCATTCCTCCACTGGGAGACGAGAGGCGCTCTCTTTACCGGTCTCCTTACCTGCCCCGCCCGTCCTCCCACCCCACCCCCATGTACTCCTCACTGCACTGATCACGTCACCCTCCCAGGGAGACACCTTCGGGCCAGCGTGCGGAGGTGTCAGACTTCTGTCATCAACGCGCACGGTCCCCTTTCCCGCGCCCTCCACCACCCTCCCAGCCGAGCCCCTGCTTGCGCTGTCCCTTCGGCCTGGACCCCTCAGCACCGCGCCTGCCCCGTCCTGCCGCCGGTGCTGCCCTTTCGCAGGCCGTGCAGACGTCCCCAGGCCCCGCAGACTGTTCAGTGACCGTGGCTCTGGGGATCGGGGTCTGTGGGGGACCTTGGCTCCTCTCCAGACTGCGAGCACCTGGCAAAGGAGGCCCTCAGTGTCTGCTGAACAACACAATGTTTCTGCCACGCAAAGCAGAGTTACCGAGTCTCGTCTTGAAAGAGATCCCAACCTAAGATTTCCTAACTTCCCTCCTAGACTCGTCTGTTTTGTCACCCTGGCGATTGACATAGTCTTTCTTATCTAGTAATCAGCCACACATTTACTTATGATGTTCCCTATGTCCTCTGGTTCTGTCTGACCCGATTCGCTCCCGCTGAGCCTTCCGGAGAAATGGCTCAGGTCTGTCATTGAAAGTATCACGACGAACAGCACTGGGACAGTGTGGACTTGCCGGGGGGAGGGGCGGGGGGGGCCCTGGGGGGATAAATGGTGAGGGACAGAGACTTGACTTGGGGTGCTGAACACACAATACAGTGTACTGATAGTGTGCTGTGGAATCGTGCACCTGAAACCTGCCTAATTTTGTCACCCCAATAAATTCAATAAAAAGGAAAAAATAAATTAATTAAACAATAATAATCAAGTGTCGCAACCCACTGAACGAAAGCCGGCAGCATGCTCGGCCCTGAGTATAAGGTAAGCAGACGGTGACTACTTACAGCCCTCAGGAAGAAACCCTTCGGCCTCCTGCGGACTGAGCCCCGCTAGCAGGGTGTGGGACTTCGGTTGCTCATGCAGCAGCAGCTCTTTCACAACTGCCCGAAATCTTTTTGCAAATGTGACTCAAATCGGACACAATAATGAGTCTGACTCATGCAAGTCTTATTTTCTTACCCTTTTATGTCATATTCCTTTCAATAGACCCAAGAATCATGTCTATTTTTTTCCACAACAGCCTCATAGTATTCACTTCAATTTAGTTGAAGGGCAATAACAACTATTGTTTTTTAAAATGGTGTGGGTTTTTTTTTTTTTTTTTTCACTCAACCAAACGATCTCATATCTATCCCCACCAAATTTATTCTGCTAATGGAGAATCATTTTTCCAGTCTGTTACAAATTTTTATACGTTGCATTTCTGGAGTTCAGATGATTTTACTGTCCTATCTAATTTGGTCACATACACAGTGGAAAAGAAACAAGAAAGAAAAGAGAGTTCGTTATGCATAAGGAGAACTCTCCCAACTGTGAGTCTTTAAGCCTCCAGTGAACTTCACCATGTAATTTACAAGTACACATGGTTAAACGTTTAGGGGTTCCAGGTATCTGTGTGGAGGTTCTGATAATATTAAGCATTGTCTTTATTTAATATTCGTCACATGTTTTCTCCACCCTTCCTCCTGTTCTCAGACTTTGCACCCCACCTGGCAACTAGAGGTCTTCTTTCTGACCTGGATGCCTCCTCTTCTAAACCACTGTGTCCTAGAACCCTACAGAAAAGCAGAACCGTGGTGCTGTCTCCTTTTGGGCTACAGATGAGCCTCCCTAGGGCTGTGGATGCCCCAAAAAGGCAGGCAAAGGTGTGTGGGTGAGTGGGGATCCAGTACAATCTCACGGGGCTGACGCCCTGTAAGGTTACGAACTCCGACGCTAAGGCATCCAGACATAGGGCAGTAAACAGAACAGACGGCGCTGGCGGGACTGGCCCTTTCAGCTCAGTCATCTCCAAAGAGGAGGAGAGATCCTACAATCATTATACACGAAACATCTCTGGCGTTAATGAAGAACATAATTTGAGAGAGTGATTTGGGGGATCCAGCATATATAAAATTATACTGAGGCAATAATGTTAACACTTTAAATATCAATCACTTCAAATATCTTAGTTTCTACTTTTAGCCAAATTCAATATATTTTCTTGTCTTCTTTTCATACCTTTAGCTTATTTGGTAACATTGATTTAAAACCAAACATTATGAATCAAAAGTTCCCCTGCACATAAACATGTTAGAGCCCAACATATGCCTTTTATTAACTGTTAGTAATTATATTATTTTTGTTAGAACATACTGTTATATTCCATACTTGTGTTTTAAATAACATTATTTAAAAAGTCACAATATAAATATGTCAGAACCAAAGCTGCCTTCATGTCAACGTGTTACCAAAAACCAGCAGAATATATCCTAATCCTTAACTTGCATTGTTGTCTATGTGTTTTGTTGTCTTTTATAAATGTCACCACACCCAGTATTTTCTTTTCTACAGGTAAATATGAAATGTAGTACAGATGTGCCACAGCGAATAAAGGTACTTTGAAGCTTTCCTTTGATGAAATGCCATTTACAGAAATTCAGAAGCAAGAACTAATGAAAATCAGAAATTGCTGTCATCCATACTCACCACCAAGCAGTCACACGGAGGATCCCTGCGCACCAGCCGGACCCGTCCTGGAAGCAAGGGATTGAATCCATTAGGAGAAGCAGCAAGTAGAAACACTGCCTCTCTCCAGCTCATCTTATTTGCAGACACAAAGATTTTGGAATCCTCCAGACTAACAATGAAAACCACACTAGGTTGTTTTCTCAATTCCTATGAAATGAGTCAGTAGGTCAAACAGCTTCTCCACTCTGGAGAGAACAATTCTTGACACTGCATTCACTATTTCCAGTAACTGTCCTCCCTCTCTCTGCCCCCTGGATGAAGCGCTGACAACAACCTAGGGAGAGCCCACACTGCACCTACCACCCAAAGGTGAGTGTTCAGGGAAGAGCTTCCCCTATGTGAAGATTTAGGAAAGAAAAGAAAGAAAAAAAAATCCAGCTAGGAGTAACATGTGGATGAAGTCTCTACTTAAAGAGAGTTGGCATAACTTTCTCTCTGTTGAGACCAGGTAGTCACTTATTCTTTCACACGAGAGGATGGAATGATACTTAAAATAAATACATAAGAGCAATGACTGTACTTCAAAAAGCCCCGCACTCCCCCGAAACTCTTCCTTCTGTAAAACAGCCTTTCCTCCTCAAAAGGACTAGTACATTCAAAAGATTCAATGATCATTCAATCAATCCGTGTTCTGAAAAACCCTTCCCAGGCGTCTGTGAGTCCTGCAGGTCTATCCATTAAGTCTTACAAAGCAGGAATACCTAAGAGCCTGGCAGCAGTCCTTTGAATCCACAACCCAAGAAGATGCACACCAGTTCAGCTAATAATCTTTGGACTCTACCTCCTACTCACCGTGTAGAACATTTCTTGCAGTTAGCGACCTCCTGCAAAGGAAACCACCAGCTACCAGCAATGAATCCATAATTCCAAGAACTCACACATTCAGGCAAAGAAGATGGGCACATATCTCTAAATAAAGGTACAGAGATCTTCGGTGACAGTTCTTCAGTAGGAGACTGGAAATACTTTTGCTTTCTGTATCGAGAGTAACTTTCTTTCTTTTAAAAGAGGAGGTTTCGTTTTGATCTTGAGAAATTCTCTCTGATAAAAACCACCAACTGAAAACCTGCCATCATAAACGAGGGATTTCACAACAGTCATTCCAAAAAACTGTGGCTATTCATTTCTGGAAGTGATTCATTGCAAAAGAATCGTTGTTGGCGGTGGAGGGAGCATTAATTTTTAGAAGGCAGCCTGTCCTCTGAGAAGTGAGCAAAAACCTCAGTGATGATAGCCACGTGCCTTGCTGACCCCATCCCGGCTCCTGAATCACCGTGCCTCAGGATGACACGCAGTGACCAATTTCCTCTAATTCCTCAGGGCACAAAACCCCTTGGGTCTATCCACCCTGGATGAAATCCTCTCGGGGGAATGTTCAAATCAATCCGGGAAGGCTGCAGCACCATTCTCCACCTGTCAATGCTCAGTTACTGGCGAGAAACCAGCATATGGATACTCACTTCCTGTGAGTATTTCTAAAAGAGTTTATGATATTTCCTTTGGAGGAAAAAAAATAAAAAGTGGGGAGGAAAGCAACACGGTGAGGAGAAGCAACTCCAACAAGCAAAGCCGAAAGCATGCAACGTGATCACCGTGTACCAGCCACGCCTAATTTTAATTTGGTTCCTCAACCCTGTGTAATTAAGACAGCCAAAAGAAAACAGCATCAGGAGAAAGGGGAAAAAAGACATTTCACAAATGCTTAGACCTTCAGTGCGCGTGACCAGAAAAGTAATTTTAAGATTCAAGTGAACCAATCTGAAGCTGGTTAGAGTGTTAACCCTTCAAGGAAAGAAAAAGAGTTACTCTCACTTGTCCCCAAATTTCAGAGATGGAAATCATCTTCCCTGGGCACTGGGGCACTGAAGACACAGCACTGTCCCGGGGCTTTGTGAGAAGAAAGCCCTTTTTCAGGTCTGTCCGAGATGGGCGCAAAGACACACTCGCTGATAAGTCCCGTCACATTAGCAGAGGGGCAACGAGGCTTTCGCTCCAAGGCACCCTTTGCAAACTGCCCACAAAGAACTGAAATACGGCCTTTTGTATTTCTCTTGGCATTAGCCACACCTGGCCATTTACATCAGAGAAGAGGAGAACTTATTCTTATATTATTTATTTTAAAATTTATCTTTATTGTCGGAAGTATTACAGATGCCCCCTTCGCTGCCCCCCTCCAAGGACGACCCCCCACACCCTACTCTTGACAGCTGGGCAAGACGAGCAAAAACTGCTTGTATCCCGCCTGAAAGAGCATGGATGGCCAGAGCTCGCTTCCTGAAGGGACTGGTGGACACCCTGCTGGAGAGGAGCTTCTAAAAAGCCTGTCCTCTCCTTTGGGGTGTGACCGCTTCCTGGATGGGAACTGGGGAGGCCGAGGGGCACCAGCTCCCACGTCTGCGACACCGCACCTCGGGCCCTCGTGTCGGACCCGGCGCCTTGGTTCCTCGTCTCTGAGTACTCAAGCTAAACATCGGGGTTCACGAAAGCAGAGTAAAGCCACGTGTTCTAGCCTCTCGAAGGAAGTTTCCACTCGTGTGCGTGTTCTTATAATCTTTACCAAACTGATATTTTAAAGGGAAGAGAGTGGACGCCAGGTCCACATGGCGCGAACATAATCTTCAAGCTGAGGACGAGTCGACAGCACCGGGACGGGCACCCCTCTGCCCTCACCCCGAGACCGCACGAGCCTCCTCAGCGGAGACAGGAACATGTGTACGATGCCGAAGGCCCGCGGACCCTTTATGGGGAGATCAACGTTAAGTACCCACAACTTTTAAAAATCCTACTGATACTGAGCTTGGTGAGGAGAAGGGAAAAACAAGCAATGACCAGAGGCCTGACAACCACCCGGATGTTAGAACATCTGCTTCCCTCACTTACTAAACAGGAAGGTCCCCTCTCCCGTGGGGTCGCGCTCACACCCACGCTCGAAGCTTTCAAAGCTCCCACGCGACGGCTCCCCATTTCAGACCCTGCTCATTGGGCAGTTCCTCTTCAAGTCCTGGGTGGCCAGCGCAGAGGTTTTACAAAGAGAAAGGAAAAGTCAAGCAAGATAATAAGGACCATGGAAGACACGTCTGGGGTGAGCCCACGCACCCAACAGGCGTGGCCACGGGCGAGACGCTACTGCTCTTGGAGAATTCCTATTAATCTGGAGGCCAAGAGGGTCATTTCCGCGGCTGGGTGTTAGAACAGGGTTCAGCCACAGAGACGGCCCAGGTCCGGCTGCCATTTGGCACACAGTGGTCATCATTCAAGGCCACGCTCCCGGGGCCTTGTTTGCTTTCCAGACCACTGGGCCCACTGTCTCCACACCTTCCAGCCACTGCCCCCAAGAGAATAAAACGCGGGGACAAATGTTCTTCATGTTTAATGTTTACTCAGAGTCTTCTGTTAAACCGTGCAAAGCGTGCTCTTCAGTGGCACTTCCACGGCCACGGGAGACCGGGAAGCGGGCAGGCCTGCGTTCGTGGCACGGCTCTTCCTTCGCTGCGCTTTGCCCTGGTGCAGATCACCCAGCTCTCTAAGCCAGTCACCATCAGTGACAACAGCACACTGGCCTACAGGGCTGCTACTTCCTTCACCCTCGCAGCGACCCTACAGGCTAAGTTCTCCTATCATCTCCATCCTGCAGATAAGGAAACTGAGGCCCCGGCAGTTTAAGGACGTGACCAGGGTCACCGAATGAGCAGGTGGTGGAGCCAGGATACAGAGGCAGGGAGCTTGATCGTAACTACGCTGCTCTGGAGCCTTCCATGAGCCGCATGTGAAGTACAACAGCACGTAGGAAACTGTCTTGAAAACCACACCATGAGGCAGAATTTTAATCACGTCACCCGCAAATATATTCTCTGCAGAATTTAGAGGAAGTTAATCATAACTAAGTACTTGTAATGCTAACACATTAGTTTCTTCTCTGAGAACAGCTTCGTGTAATTTGCCAACTGCTTCTTTGCACCATCTATGATGAGTTTCAGAGTAGAGGGGATTTAGAAATCTTGTTTTTAGGCAGTGTGGGTAAGTGAGGCTCAAGGTCACAGAGTTCATTTGAACCTTCATCTATAGCTCCCAGGGAAATGCCCCACTGCCTCACAGCCCCACAAGGCTGCCAGTGCACCTGGAACTGTGGAACACTTCTCCAGCATTTTAATCTGTCAGGCATCCATCCATTCATGGGATGCATGTACAGGTAAATATTAGTCCTCAAATGACAGTCTATTATACGTCTTCTTCTCACTACAAGTTCCTCTGGCTTTAAGAAGACAGAAAGATGAGAGAAAAATATTTTCTTCCCTTTTTTTTTTTAAGTTTGCGAAAAACAAAGCTTCTATAAAGTTCCAGTTATGATGAACATAACTCAAGTTCTACCTAATTTTCTTTTTTCTTTAAACCTGCTTGTATGCAAACCCTGTAATGTTAAACCAACTTTCCCGTGTGCTTATTATTCGTTTATTTAATTGTTTTTATTCAAGTGTAGTTGCCGCCACCTGCTCATTGAACGAGGCCACCAGAGCGACTGGGGGCTGGAGACTCCTCAGCTTAGAAGGTGGGTGATGATGTGGCCACTGACTCTTTTCTTAAAATTAATTTTTGGAGAGAGAGAGAGAAAGGGAGAGGTAGAGAGAGAAACATTGACGTGAGAGTGACACACCGATGGGGTGCTGCCTGCACCCCACTCCCCACGGGGGTCCAGCCCGCCACCGCGCTCGTGTCCCGACCCAGAAGGAACTGGAGACCTTTCGGGGCTCAGGACGATGCCCAAACAACAGCCACACCAGCCAGGGCTGGCCACTGACTCTTCAAGGGAAAAGTAATTTCCTATTTAGGGTCTTTAAGATTTTCGTGCTTTCATTGCATAAAGTTTGGCCTTTTTGGTTTTACTTAGATTTTTTTTTTTTAAATCCCCACCGGAGGATATTTTTTCCTTTTATCTTCAGATAGAGTGGGAGGGAGGGAGAGAGAGAGAAACATTGATGACAGAGAGACACATCGACTGGCTGCCTCC